GGAAGTATCTATGACAAAGATGTGAAGGATAGATATTAGTTGACTCTGGACTTGAAGAGGTTAAGATTATAGTGGTCAGGAAAGCATCATCTCAGGAGTCTGTTCCACAAATTAATAGTTCTGGAAAATAAGCTGAGTGGAACTTACTGCTTTGCTTTACCAAAGAAATATAAAAAAACTCAAGAGTTTTATGTTCCTATTTTGCGGCTGTATAGCATTTCAAGATGCATATTGTAGGATTTTCTTATTTTTAATAGTAGACTGGTATCTGTCCAAAACATTGAAAAAAATCAGTTGGAAGACACAATCAAGGCAATGTAATTTATATTAGAGCTGAAGTTCACTTTCTGGAAACACAGAAAGCCTTGACAAAATAATTTAATTTCAAGAATATGTTCTCTTTGTAGTACAGAAAAAATAAAATTAATAGTTAAAGATGATTAGAGTTAAGTCACTTGATGGACATATAAGTTGTTACAATAAGAATGCTGATTTAAGGTAAAGGTCAGTCTGCACTTAATACATATTGCAAAGGAGATAACATAAGTGTGTTAGGTCTCTGGTTTTCCAGTATGAAATGGTTATAAAATACCAATATATATCTGGAAATAAATAAGATCCTGTGCAAAAGCATAATTGACATTGAGAAAAGAAATAACCAATAGACAAGAGACTATGTGAGGACAAAAATTTATCTTAAATGCTTCAATATAAAATTGCATCTGCTTCATCTTCTAAAACTTTTCACCAACTTTAAAATAGAATTTGTTCATTTTGAACTAAAACAAAAAACAGTTTTCAAGAGAAAAGTTTTTATGCAATGTTTGTCACTTTCCTCTCATAACAAGTCGCCCATCTCCAATACAGCAATCAGTAATCCAGCACAGATTCCCACAAGCAATTTCAGATTTCTCAGGTCACCACATGGATTTAACATTATTGCCTGGTGATGTTAACTGCTGCATCAACTGTTTTGGGGCTCTTTCAAACACTAGTCAGGCATTTCTACTCATCTTTTGTACATTTTTATCATTACCTGCTAATGTTTGGCCTTTGTCATGACGCCAATAAATACAGGAAGGGCTTCTCATGGTCTATAGCAGATAAGGCAAAACTTCTGAAAAAAAAAAACCTGACACTAGAAAGTCTGTGTGAAGCCTATGTGATTTATATAGTATTAGCTCATCTAATGTTTATAACAAAGAAAGAAAGAAAAATAACATAAACAATAATCCTGCAAATCACGTATCTACTACTCCATGTCACAATGTTGCCGGATTAGTGATAGTCAACAAGTTGTGGATAGTTCAAAAGATGTGATGTTGGCCTGAAGGTTTTAACAAAGACTTCAAGCATACAAAAGTTGATTCAGTGTAATGCAAAACTGTATGAATTTGATCGTACGGAGAGAAGATATTTTGGAAGTGAAAATGTAATAAACACATTGAGATGAAAAATAAATAAAAACTGAACAAAATGAAGCATTGATTTGAATATTTTACAATGCCAAACAAAATTTATAGAAAGACAAAATCTAGAATGGTTTTCTTTTTCTCCTCAAGAAACTTTGTTAAATTTAACTTTGCTGATTGTTAAAAAAAACTTTTTTGTTCCTGTATTAGCATTTTATCCTCATTACTGTTTTTTCTTATTTACCAGCAATTAGCCTTCATTTATCAAGTGTTATGAAATAAATAATGAGCCTTTTACCATGCATCTTTGATATAATTAACAAATTCTTATGCTGTTTTGTGCAAGGAGATAAAGGTGAGTAACAATAACATATTTGAATTTAATTAAAACTTGAGTTTGAATTGCTGGGATAAATATCCTTTGTAAATTGGGTTGGCAAAAGTTTGTTCAGATGGGTAGTTATTAGTTTGAGTCAGATTTTGGTAGTAGTCAGGAGTCATTATTTACGTTAGGACTGATGTCCTTATCTTTGTTGCTATAGTCACAATGTTTTAGCTGTTGTGCTCGCTGGCATTCTTTAGGTGCTGTTGATCTGATTAACCTTTAGGGAATTTTAAATTACACTCTTTATTTAATCTATGGAGACAGATTGTTCTTATTGTGCTGTTCATGTTTAGTGATATTTTGTCTAGTTCTGTTATTGCTTATCCTGTTTCTACTGAATCTAAGTCTATATTATTTGGTCCAGGTTTAGGTTTAAGGCTGAAAGTTCTAGGTTAAGGGTTGTCACATGGGACAATAGTCTAGTGGATTTGTGGTGTCCCCAAATGTGAAATTAAAATATTTAAAAAAATTCAAATTAAAAGAAAGCATTTGCTCCCCCCCCTAAAAACTCCATATCTCTTTTTCTCTCTCAACCAATGAGAAGGCAATTCTCACATAAAAAAAAAGAGGTAGAAGGAAAAGAAAAGGCTGCACAACTGCTGTGAAATGGAAGTTCACTGGGCCAGGGTCTAGTTATTGTGACTGGAAATCTACCAAAATAAGAGAGGCTCCATGCATAATTTCCACTATAAAAAAAGAAAATAAAAGAAAAAAAAGAAAGGAATACCAGAAAATAAATAAAAGAATTTTATCTAATCAAAAGAACAAAGAGACTTTTGATGTTAGCCAAAACCGAGCTTTGTGCCAAGTAGTCTGGAGCCTTTCAAATTTGTATATAAAGAGAAAGCCAACAGACAGCAGTAGAGACAGTCAAGGAAAACCCATCTGAGTATGTTGTGTGAAGAAACTAAGCAATCATCTGCTGAAGACATTTTTCCAACCTTTTATGAGGATTGAGAAAACACAGTAGATTGTCATCCACAACATCTTTCCAAAGTAACCACACTCCTGACTACTACCAAAATCTGACTCAAACTAACAACTGCCCATCTGAACAAACTTTTGCCAACCCAATTTACAAAGGACTCATCTCAATCAAAATCAGTTAAATAAATATATATTATTTGTTTATATTTTTCATTCTGTTTGTTTATTCCAAATTTTCTGATAAGTATTACTAAAGCCATCTGGTACTTTTACAAAGATTAAAGCATTTGTTCATGATTTTGTGATTTCAATCCCTGGATGGAGTAGTGCACAATTAGACTCAGCAGAAATAGGTTGAGCAATAAGAGAGCAGTACTAAATAAGACATGAACAGCAGAACAAGAAAAATCTACACCTGTAGATTAAATAAAGAACAGATACCTAAAGAAGGTCGGAGGTCACAACAGTTGAAATGTTGTGATAATAGCAAAAGATGACAGCATTAGTCTGAATGTAAATAAAACCAGAGTTATTTTGTAGACAACTGTAAACAACTACTGTAAAGTTCCAAGTATTATGTATTTTTACTCAACATTATCAAGGAAATGTTTTAATAAAAGGTTTACAAAGGACTCATCTCAATCCTGTAATCTGTAATCTGCTGTAATCCAACTTTAATATGGTGTAGTGTAGTAATATTAGGAGGCACGGTAGAGCAATTGATAGCAGCTCAGATTGCAGAATCGGAGATCCGACTTTGAATTCCAGTCGAATCCATTACATTCACTTACATGCTAATGCCCTTGGGAAAGGTATGAATCTGATTCTTCTCCCCCCCCAGCTATGGGTAAATAGCAAGACAGCCTTGGATGGCAACCAGTCTACTGCAGAAAGAAATGGCAATGTACTGCAGGAAAAAAAATCTGTCTCATCAGTCATGTATTAAAAAATATATGATCGCCTAAGTGTGTATCATGCATGGAACATAACTGACTGTAGTAATATTCATTAATAATGATAATGAAATGATTGCAAAGTGTACTTTCAAACCTTTTAACTGTACACAGCTTAATATATACTCAATACATGTGAAGACTACAATTTGTAAATTTTTCTTTCTTTCTTATTTGTTGGTTAAATCAACTTTTAAATAAATATATTACAAGTGACAATTATTCTTAACATGTACATTTGAATATTGGCAATGTGAGATGACATTTATTTGCCATATTATTGTTGTCCATTCATTGTTTACATTTCTGTTTCAGTTTTAATATTTTATTAATATTTTAATAATAAAGCAGTAATATTTTCTGCTCCTTTCATGTTATTACAGATATTTGATGCCACTATGAATAACACATCTCCAAGCTAAGGGATTTTCTTTATGACATTTTTCAATTTTTTTTTTTCAGTTGAGGCTACTAGAGTATTTTTAGCTAGTAATAGCACCCATTTTGATATTCAGAAATCCAAGCAACTGGTGCAATATAATTTAGAATAGAGTTACTGAAAGCACCATGTACATTTGTTAGGTAGATATGTGTCTATCAAATGAGGTTCCATACCACCTCTATGAGAAGAATATATAAAAGTATAATTTTGACACAGGGACATTGGCTTATACTGTGCCACATAATGTCCTGAAAGACCACAAAACTATGATCTTTTTGTTATCCTTTATGAACCTGTTTTTTGATGAATGTAAGCATAGAGGTTAAAAGGAGAAATCTCCAATTTCAAGGTAAACCAGGGGTAGAGTTAAGATAGATAGAAATGAGTCTCTGATCTCAAAAGGAGAGTAGCAATAATTCTTTAGTAAGAGATTTCACTTGACACTAAGCTTAGTTTAGTACAGCAACAAGCCAGTTGGGGGAAAGATTGTGTGATGCCAATCATTGTAAGTGGAGAGGGCCTGCTTGCCTAGAAAATCAGCATTCTGGCATTTTACCTGTGCTTGGACATCAATTTCAGGCACTGGTGAGAAATCAGTGACTATTTTTAGCCATGTCGTTTGATGATGAAACAGAAATAAAAAAAGAAAAGAAAAGAAAAAAGTCTTAGAAACAACAACAAATGGAAAGCTATTCAAATATTAGCAGGTACACATGATATTATATCTCTCACAAACATCAGATATTTTCTTTTGGTTTTCTAGAGTGAATAACAACATTGCCATCTCATTCTTATTTCCCTGTCTGCATCGTAATTGTCTCTTGTATGCGTTTTTTTAGAGAGGGAATCAAATCTATATGGGTCTCAGAGCACTTGCGTACGCAGGATTCTAGTTCGTGCCTGTAGCGTGATATATCTGCTTCTGTGGCACCAGGAGACATCTTGTCTCGTACTTGGTCTTGGCAAGCTAAAGCACAGCGCTGTAAACGGTCCTGAAAAAAAAAAGGCATGAAAGTATATAGAATTGGAAGTTTAATTAAAAAATTGTCTAATAATGGTACATAATCAAAAAGAAGATTATTCCTAAACTGAGATTATTTGAGTAACTTTAATCTGACATAATCTGAAACAATAAAAAATTGTATTTACATAAACTAAGTAAACATTGTATATACAATTCAAAAAATCAAAATATAAAACTAATATAGATAAAAATATTTTGCAAAATGTTTCCTAGTCTTTAGTGACATACAGACTTGAAAATCAATTAAATATCCACATCATGTAGATCTGGGATTCCCAAAATGGCCATGAGGACAGAAGGTTGATATTAAAACCAAGTAATTTCTTTTTTTAACAAAATCTATAATTTTAAGTGTAGCTGACAAAGAACACATACTTTACAATGAATAAAATTAACATGGGTTATGTACAAACACTTGGTTTTATTTTATTTTGTTGTCCAAAGTTTTGTGACACAATAACTAGGCGTATATTAAGGTGGATTTGTAAAATATGTATCTTATTTTAATAAATTAAGAATAGAAAATGGTTAAGAATAGAAAAATAGTTTAAAAACATGTGTTTCGTTTAACAAAAGTACTAAGGGAAAAAGAAAAGAACTTTTTCTTTTATAAGTAAATTTGTGGAAGAGAAAAGGGCATCAGATTACTGTTAAATCCTACCAGTCTTCCAATAAAATATTTGACTAAGTGATTTGATGTGATAAAAGATAAACGTTTAGGAAATAGATTTTAGATGACCAGGTCAAAAACTGTCTTTACTGTATCACGACAACACATTAAGGAAATAAAGAAAAGATAATAGAATTTTCCCTTTCTCCAGGCAATAAAAAAAGAAAAGGGCTATAAAAACATCTGATGGCCTTCACACGAAGATTTGTTAAGATAAAAAGATAAAAAAAAATCCTGGAAAATACATCGTTGGAGGCAGAGTGCAGACATGATGTCCGCGGGATGTTTACACATCAAAGGAAGCAAAATTTAAGTTGAAATTTTGAACTTACACTCACCAATGCTTATCTTTTGTTTTCACTCGGTGGTCTAGTGGACTTCCGATTATTTCAATATAAATACAAGTGATTTTTCTGAGCCGAGCAGTTCAGCTGGGCGGGTGCTTGAAGTAGCCACGTGTGTCAGGCACACTGAAGAAGTGAAACTCCGTTCGTCTGAGTCGGTCGGTTCGGCATTTGATCTCCATTAGTTAGAGTTAGAGCTGAGTGTCACATCGCCTACCCCAACGGCAAGACTAAGTCTGAACAAAATAAAGCATTGATTAAACTCATCTAAGTTGTGGAAGTTTGTTCCTTCAATGGTTTATCTTGTGCCCCCAGCTTGAGACTTCGACTTTTTCAACCAACACCCAGCAACATCACAGTGTGGAGAACGGCCGCCGGAGAAATTGCACAAAGCTCAACCAGGGGTGTTACAGTTTAAAGTTCAAACATTTGTATATATCTGGCTGACATTGTCTAGATATGATATGTCATATGCCAGCCAGATCAGACAGTCAATGTCTGCAGAGAGCAATTTCTCTAGGTTTGTAGATATAACCATCGATGCTCATAGATGTTGGAAATTTTATAAATTTAAGAGAAAACAGTTGAAAAGAAGTAAAACATAAATATTTACCTGAAACATTTGGATTTCATTTTGTATAAGAGCTTGTGCTCGATTCACAGGTTCTGAACATCGATCAATGCATCGATGAACTTCATCCATGCTTAAATTTTGTTGGTCACAACACTTGGCACCACACCGATACATTTCACCCTGGAAATAAAAAAATAGAAAATTATATATATATATATATATATATATAGATAGATAATAATAATATATATATATATATATATATATATATATATATATATATATATATATATATATATATATATATATATATATATATATATATATATATATATATATAGATATATATATATATATATATAGATATATATATATATATATATATATATATATATATAGATATATATATATATATATATATATATAGATATATATATATATATATATATATATATATATATATATATATATATATATATATATATATAGATAGATTTAAATTGATAACACATTGGTACATTTCACTGTTGGAAATAAAAAACAATAGAAAATTATATATTATATATATATATATATATATATATATATATATATATATATATATTTTAAAAAGAACTTGGTAACTCACTTGGAGATTTGTACCCTAGGAAATACAAACAAAAATTTTCAGTCCTTTTAAGCATAATTTTTTAAATTCAGTGTATTTTGGCAGCGGATGTTCTTGCAAAAATGTCTTATTAAAAAGAATAGACATTTTATGACTATTATATTTATTAATTCTTTTTTTCTAATATGCAAATAAATTTTCACAAATGTGGCAGTTGTAGATGTCAAAAACAGTTGAAATTTTATTAGGTCTAAGCTTTCAACTAATGAGTCATCATCAGGAGTTGGAGAGAATAAAGAGAAGGTACGAAAATCAAATGTATATTAAGCAGCACATTGTTTTAAAAGTGTTATATTTTGTTTGAAAGTTAGATCCAATGTAGTAGAATGTTGCTGACTTGAGGTTGACGTCTGCGATTCCAGTGCAAAACACTTTGAAACACTGAAAATGAGAAATATTTTTTCCTTCCAGTTCACTGATGTTTCTAAAACTTATATTACTGTCAGATGCAAAAATCAGATTGGACAAATTTTGGCATTTTTACTTACATTTATTTTAATTTGTTCTACATAGCAAGTTTAACTACAATTTATTGATAATTCCATATAAACAATTATAATTTACCTCATTTGTGCCACAGGTGGTGGGCTGGATGAACTAATTGATATTGTAGGCCGGATCTGGCCCGCAGGCCATAGTTTGGTGACCCCTGGGCTAGAGGTTGGATCATACATGGAAATAAAATAATCAACCAACACAATATAAGACAAAAAGGTGAAATAATATTTTGGGATAGTATTTCAGGCAGTAAGTCCCTACAAAGCTGATGATGATATTAAGGTAAATGTAGAGAATTATTGCAATTTCTGCCATTTATTTTCTAGGGTGGTAGAAGTCACAACCAAGAAAGAATATATTTATATAAGACAATGCTTCTTAATATTGTTCAGAGTTGACTTATTGTCCACTTTGTCAAAAAAAACAGAATGGCTTCTAGCCTCTTCAGATAATAATCAGTGACTAATCAAAAAACATGGGGAGAAGTGCAAACAGGTACAGGGGTATAAAGTAGAGTTAGTTTTATTAGGGTGCATATCTTACGACAAAAAATTTTCATTAATTTTTTTGGGGGAAAAATTAAGTTTTATTATTTAAAATACAAATACTCCCACTATTTTAAAAACGATTTAATGATTAAAATAACAAATACTTATTTAATTAAAATGCAATATTGTTTTTTGCATATCTTTTCAAGAATATACAAGAATCCAATTTCCAGTTTGTCCTGTGTTTGCAAGAACTATAAACAAATCACAAGGCCAAAATGCTTCAAAAAGATGGAATTTGACTCCAGGAAGAAATATTTATGCATGACCAGTTGTATGTTGCATGCTCAAGAGTAAGAAATCCTAAGAATTTATTCTTCACTGTTAAAAAGGAAAAAAAGAAATTTCCTTAAAAAATATTGTTTACCATTAAGTCCAATAAAATTAAATTATATTAAAAAAATTATTAAAAAGCGAAGTAAGGTTTTTGTCAAAGTATTTTTCCATACAAATCAGCTTATTCAAATTTCATAGATTGGTTTGTGAAATTGAACAAATGTGGAGTTTGTAAATCTCACCAAAAATGTTAGCAATAGTAAATGCTGTGAGAATTTCAAAATGTGCCAGCATGCTGCAAAAAAAAATTCTAGTTTGACAAAAATTAACATTATGACACAATGCTTATGCTGTTTTTCAAAGTGTCATGACGTTATAATTAAACTATTGCAAATAATGTTAAAATTGAAACAGCAGGTAAGTTTTAACAAAATCAACAACTGAAAGTATGATGAAGGTGAAGGTCCAAGAGTGACTGGTTTGTTTTTCGATAGCTTATCAACCCTTTTGAGGCTATTTAAAGTCAGAAAATATTTTTAGATTATAATATTTTTTTTTTGAGATAATGGTTTAGTGATACAAGTCTTACTAATTAAGCGATAGCTGGAGAGGAGGAGAAGAGGTGGATTCATACCTTTCCCAAGGGTATTCGTGAATATAACAAACCCAACTGGAATTGGAACTCAGCTCTCTGATTAACAATTTGAAGTCATTATCCATTGCACCGCCCACACACACAGTCTTAGAGTATTCCCAAGTGTTCACTCATCTAGGTATTGGCTTGGCGTTGCTTAACTTCAGTAATCGTACAGGAACCAATATTTTAATGTGATATGGCCATAATCAAATGTTAAGGAGCCAATTTAATCAGGTATAATGGATTTTATGTTAATCAAATCTATCTTTTGGATTTATTTATAAATAAACATTTATGTTACACATTTTGATTGAATAAGAAAACCTGACACTCTCCAAACAAGTTGTTATGAATATTTTAATAAGGACATATAAGCTCGAAATTCATTGCAATACATTGCTCATTTAAGTATATCCTGTAAATTGTTATCAACATCAGCTGGTTAATACAGATTTTATGAAAAAAATGATTTGTATAATAAAGTAAGAGATAGTGTAAATCAAATAGTTTACAACAATAAAATGTAAGAAATATGTCATCAGTAAAGTATACAAAATAGATTATCTGTAAAAATTTATTTCAGCACTACAAATAGAAGTGAATAAAGTTATCATAAAGTTATCAAGAAATTTAGAAAATAGAAAGAAAAAAAAAAACTTCAGATGTGTTTTCTCTCACAGTAATTACAAAATTTAATAATTTAGTTGCAAAATAATAAAAATATTAGCACCTAACATTATTACTTCTCCTTCCACTATATATGGTGGCTCCTCAAATGCAAACTTCAGTAGCCTTGATCTTGATTTAAGTCAAGGCTGTTTTTTTTTTATTGTTGCTATTGCAGGATGTGACAACACAATCATGAAATTTAAGTATACTGTTATTTGGCCATTGGAGTCAACTGCAATGGAAGGACAAATGCTTTCCTTGGTGACTGAAGTTGCCTAAAGAGTGTTTAAGGTAAATTGTATTTTATCCCCTTATCTTTGTGAAAGCGTGTTTTATATGTCATTACAAAGTTTGACAGGTTGACTTCTCTTTAGAAATTAATCATTTTGCCAGTAAATATATTCATTCAGCCAATTTGGTTTCAATTAGTGAAGTAATTTTTGAGATACACTAACTGTACTATTTGTGGTGTTCTTTGATGAAATATTTTGGGGTAAATTATGGTAAAAGTTTGCCAGATTCATGTTCAGTGTTTAAACTTGAGTTTTTTTTCTCAGTTTATTAAATCTCACTCAAAGTTAAATGACAAATACTACTACTAAGCTTAATACACAGGATGTACAGTATTAACAAAGTATTAAGTTACATGTTTAGATGACTAAAAGTATCAGATAGAACATAACAGCTTTTGTTGAAGTTTGTGAAACCCGGATCTTGTTTTTCATATAAAAGAAAAAGAAAAAAAGAGAGTAGAGGGAAGCATTCTTTGTATAGTACTCTTTAAAAAAAAATCTACTTGAATTTTAGTTAATAAAACACACCAGTTTCCTATTTAATAGTGGCTAACAGACTAGTCAAACAACTTATTATTATTGTTTTATTATAGATAAATTTATAATCCATACTGAGGTTTTGACACATTATTTCTAAATTATTAAATTATATATATTATATATATATATATATATATATATATATATATATATATATATATTAAAGTCAGCTTCCAAGGTACTGCAATTATGAGCATCTGTAGTGGAACTAATGTTAATTGAAAATGATTAACATGAGTGCTACAAAATAGAGAAGATTTTATTTTATTTTTACAACACAAGAAATGTGGAAATATCTGAAAACAAAAATTAATCATTTGTTTTGTTTTTCTTTAAAGTCTCTGAGAGTCATAGAGAAATATCAGCATCCACATGGTGTTAAAAGCACCATTGCCAAGTTGAGAATTGTAATTTGATACTGTTAATTAAGCAGTGAAAGGAGCGGCCTTGCAGTGAGGGACAGTTGTATTTCATCTTGTGAGACAAGTAAACTGTTTTGAAGTATTTTGAAAATATTCTCATTATTTAAATGTTCTGATCAGATCACTCACATGCACATTATCTCCACAAATTTCTCATGAAGCAACTACAAATTTTTTGTACACCTGATTGGTCAAAAAATGTGGTCAAGTGTTTTATTCTTTTTAGAAAACATGCATAGGCATTTTTTATATATTAAGAATTGCACCAAAGTTGATCTGATTTTTCTCAAACTTTCCTTGACAAGAAATTGCATCATTTCCTATACATGGCCACATACTGAATGTATTTGTAAAAAAAACAAAAACATTCCTATCACTATAAATACACATATATAAAAATCTATATATTTAGTTAAAAATTTGAAAAGAAAAATCCTTGGTAATGACTAATAGAATAAACAAAGGCACTCAGATATATCGAATATATGGACAGTTTTTATACACTTTATGTCCAGAGAAGAAAACACTTGTACCAATCCAAAAATAATTTAAATTAAAAGTTTAATCACAGTATCTTGTCAGTCATCTTTAATGAAACTTGTATAAAAGAGGAACTGCGGCCAAAATACC